GGACATTTGAAATTAGTTTTGATTCTCGTACGGAAACCCTAATTTGCTCCTACAAAAAATTCCAGACCATTGGACTTCTGTATCGCCATCAACTTCACATTTTGAAGCACTTGGATTACACATATTTGCCCGGTGTATAGATCACATCGACAAATGTTTTTTACAACAACATGATAAAGATCAAATTAAGTTTTCTTTTATTCAACTTACCTTATACTTCTTCTTCTGGGGTGCAAGACATTTCGAATCCAAATATGCATCTATAACACTCTCCGGTGTATAGATCACATCGACATCCTTCCTCCTCATTTCCTCCATCTTTTCTTCTTCCCTCATCTTTTCTTCTTCCTCCATCTTTTATTCTTCCTCCAGCTTTTCTTCTTTATATTTTTTCAGTTCATCGTATTTTTGCTCTACATAGCTCTTCATCTCTTTTATTTCACCCTTCAATTTTTCCCCTTCATCCAAGTATTCATCAACCACCCCCTTCACCCTCGTAAGTTCATTACTCAATTCCACAACCTCCTTCACCACTCCATCAATTTTTTCACCCGTCACTATCTTAAGTTCACCCCTCAACACCTCAACTTCTTCCACCACTTCACCCCTCAACACCTCAACTTCTTTCACCAATTCACCCCTCAACACCTCAACTTCTTTCACCACTCTATCTATTTTTCCTTTCACTTCCCCCTTATGCCTCTCAAGTGTCTCTTCGACTCTTTCAAGTTTTTCTTCGACTCTTGATTTTTTTGCATGATATCAAATTGGATTTTTTTATATCAGCCAATTCATACATCAAAATGTTGAATTTACTCTGTTTTTCCTCACTGGCATCCCCCTCACTGTCATCCCCCAATACAACCATCTCTTCTTCCTTCTCCTCTGTCTCCTCTACCTCCTTGCCAATAACCTTCAAAATTAAATTACAATATTAAGAAATTGATTATATTCTTAATATTATTTAATTACATTTATTACCCTTTCTTGCTTCCTCGGTCTATCTAACTTCAACTTCGCCATCACACTAACCACATCTTCATTCCCCCATGCACAGATGCGTGCAACTCCGGTTCTTTCATAAGTCGGCACTGCCTCACAGCCTGACCAAAAATTGAACAGTGCAACCTACATTTATAATAAAATTTATAATTTTATATAATAATTATACTATCATTTTAGATAAAAAAACAAAAAAACGTTCTTCAACTCATTTACCTCTAAGATTGCTATGCACCCTTTGAGGTATCTCTGGCTACCCTTTTTAAAGGTGATTATTGATTCAATCAATCTCGAATGGACATATTCAGCCCAATTGAATTCACCCTTCAAACCTTCATCGCAAATGAGCTTCATATAGTCCTTGTTCGTTGACATATCACCCGTTGGATAAAGAAAGATCCCGACAAGGTACAATAGAACTCGGGCCTTCAGCTCATCCCCCGTAAGATCCACTTTTGATTTTCTCTTCAAGTTCAACATATGTCACCTTCTGCTTCAAACCATATTTGGAGGCAAGTGTTTTCCAGTTCTTACTCTTAGAGACTTCTACAACACTTTTGCCTTTATTTCCTACCCCCAAGACGGCTGCAGCACATGGGATCCTCATAGGAAATGAAAAATCACCATATTTAGCAATACATTGTTCGACATCAAATTGCACCATCAAGGATCAACACAATTCCCTCCGAATAGGTCGATCCCTTACTCCTACCAACGATCCAAACCTTATTTCTCCCAGCACATTCAACTGACCCTTCTCCGTAAGGTGTTTAATTAATGAATTCACCCTTTTAATGTTGCTCCTTGTCGACACTTCCTACATTTTTTAACAATATATAATGTTATAGTTCTTATATATTTTGTATCAACGTATTTACAAGTTTAATGAATACCTTCTTTTCATGTGCTTTCCTTCATTCTTTGTATTCTTCACTATCCATCTTTGACTGTACGATGTAAGGTTCCTTATCAGCATCACTCATCGAATTCCATTTCTCCAACACATCATTTCTCATCTAATATTAAGCATAAACGTTTCTTAATCAATACATGAATGCTAAATAATACTCAATGTCAATTTCAATTTACATACCGAACCGATGTGTTCACCACCTTCCTTTATCCTTTGGTATTTGGTCATACTGTCAACATTTAAAATTTGTAATCAATTTAAAGTTCTTAAATACTTTAATCCAATTATCATTTCAACAATAATAACATAAAGACATTGATACTTACTAGAAATGCATATATCCACCCTTTGGTTGCTTTCGAGTCTCGGTCTCAATTTCAAAGTCATCTACGCCACCAACAATTTTTCCACCCATTGACTCCATTTTTCCATCATATATCAGTTTACACAAATCAAATCAAATACTTGTTACATACACTTTATTCAATATACAAATATAGATAATTACTCTTGTGGTAAAACGGTTTTCTTCAAAAGAATTTGAATGGCCACTACAAAATGTGTCGGCACATTTATACAATCTAAAATATAATTTTCTACCTATAATATTATATATAGGTATCCATATTTATTTTCTACCTATAATATTATATAATCGATCCCAAATCCTTCTTGGCTTCGATTCGAAATTCCCAAACCAAACCTAAAAACCCTAATTCATATTTCCTTCAAACGAATGGGAACACTCAATACTCCAAGTATCGACACATTTATACAACCTATAATATCATTTTCTACCTATAATATTTAATAAAAGTATCGATATTTATATTTTACCTAAAATATCACTTTCTACCTATAATCGATCTCAAATGCTTCTTTACTCCAAAACCCCAAACAACACATAAAAACTCTATTTCTGATTACTGTAATAATAAAAAACTAGGGTTTCGACAACGCACTTTTCGATTCAACTGCAGCAACAAACAAACAAACTTCGCCTTAGAAGCGCCTTCTGAAATGCAGCAACAATTACGCTTCGATTTCAAAAACTTGTCCGTTCTATCTATTTTTCAGAGGATATTTAACTATGCCCTTTATATTTTCACCGGATATGTTATTTATATTTAATCGATACAACTACAAAAGTATCGATACTTTTATGTCATGTGTCGATACTTTTGATAGTATAATTACATATTTCTTTGAAAGTATCGATAATGTATTACTCGTACTTATTAAAATATCAACACTTTCAATATATCCGGTAGCGCTTTACCGGTTTTGTCATTTCGAGACCGGTTTTGTCATATTTTTACTGTTATATCGTTGTGGACCGATACATTGTTATAAAGTATCGACACTTTATAGGCGCTAAAACTGTTTCTCTTTTAAATTCACAAAATTTCGATACTTATATTAAAGTATCGACACTTTAAATATATTCGGTCGCTCTATACCGGTTTTGTCCTTTAAAGACCGGTTTTGTCATATTTTTACATGTTATATCGTTTTGGATCGATACATTGTTATAAAGTATCGACACTTTATGGGCGCTAAAACTGCTTCTCTTTTAAATTCACAAAGTGTCGATACTTATATTAAAGTATCAACACTTTCAATATATTCGGTCGCTCTATATCGGTTTTGTCCTTTAGAGACCGGCTTTGTCATATTTTTACATGTTATATCGTTTTGGATTGATACATTGTTATAAAGTATCGACACTTTATAGGCGCTAAAACTGCTTCTCTTTTAAATTTACAAAGTGTCGATACTTATATTAAAGTATCGACACTTTCAATATATTTGGTCGCTCATACCGGTTTTATCCTTTAGAGACCGATTTTGTCATATTTTTACATGTTATATCATTGTGGATCTGTACATTGTTATAAAGTATCGACACTTTGTAGGCTCTAAAACTGCTTCTCTTTTAAATTCACAAAGGTAGATACTTATATTAAAGTATCGACACTTTCAATATATTCGGTACCGCTTTACCGGTTTTGTCTTTTCGAGATCGATTTTGTCATATTTTTACATGTTATATTGATGTGGATCGATACAGTTTTATAAAGTATCGACATAAACTGACAAGCTAAATTTGTTAGTTGCCAAATTTTTTAATATTTCTTCATGATTTAGACCTACTACATTATTATTACTTAACATTTCTGATAGCGCTAACCCAAATTTATTAAATATCTCTTAATGTATCCAATAATACTGTATATTGGCCCGCCTTTCACGAGACAATCTCAATCTTCTCAAACAACTGTAATCATCTATTTGAAAAGAAAGGGGTCACGTTAAAAATCTCCTCATATCCAACATTACACAAATGCACAACGTCAGACAGCTAACCAAATAAACTTATTTTCATCAAATAAAACTATAAGGCATTAAGTGACTAACTTTTTACTCGTATAATTATTCGACAAGCTGACACTGTACATGAATTGTTTGCCTCCAATTACCAAGACAAATGGAAATCTTCTGCTTCATGCTTCCTTGTCTACTTAGGACACCAACTGCAAATCAACAATCATTACCCATAGATTCCGGTTCAAGGACAAGGGCTAATTTTTAATGCCCCAACACTTATCTTAAGCTAACCCAAAATTGTTTAGTCCATGACAGTATGACCTTGCTGTTGGTTCTTTGAAGGAAGACATGAATTGTAAACATTAACATGTATACACGAGTAAATATTCTTCTTCTTATTATTGTCATCAAAGAATAAGAACGACTTGTTAATTGAGACCAATGGCACCATTTGATGATTGAAGAGGCAAAGATGCATGCAGCTACAGAGCTGGCCTGTGTTTACCGTCCACATTTTCCATCCGGTTAACGTTGCCCATCTTATGGCCATATGAATAAAAAAATGAATTAAGGGTGACCTGCTGTTGCCAAAACCTGTACCATCACATGCGTTAGCCACCTTGACACGAATATGCCAAGGGTTCCTTTATTGCGCTCTTATAAATAACAAAGTTAATGAATCATTGCAGATTAAGCACAACAAAAGCTTTCACAACCGGTAAAGCAACTAAAATGGCAGGTTTCTCCCCATTGCCTGATGTGCATCCTCCTGTTAGGTCCATCAGTTTACCCTCAAGGGTCCATCCCACAAGCTGCTTTAAACCATCTGAAATCCTGGAAAACATCCTCGGTTTCGACGACTGCGAGTTTTTCAGGTGAAACCCTTCGGATCGGCCTCGTCGACCTTGCGGATTTGTATAACTGTGTCCGGGAAATCATTATCTCTCCGAAAACACAAAGTCAACTCGTTCAGTATCAGAATGGGAAACTTGTAGAGGAGGCATTGGATGAGTCTGTCACGTTTTTGGACACTTGTGGCAGAGGTAGGGATCTATTGTTGGCGATGAAACAACATGTTCAAACCCTGCAATCAGCTCTACGACGAAGGCGTGGAGATTCGAGTATCGAAACTCAAGTTGCAGCTTACATCAAGTTCAAAACAGCAAAAAAGGAAGTAGCTAAATGCCTTGGAGCATTGAAGAAATTAGATCGTAAATTTGGTTCCTCCTCCACAGCCTTGGATGTAGATCAACATTTGTTAATGGTGATCAAAGTCCTAAGAGAAACAAGTTACATTACCATCTCTGTTTTTCTATCTCTTCTGCTCTTCTTCTCAGTGCCTTCAAGGGTTGCAGGATGGTCGAAGGTTACAAAGTTGATTCCCACGCGATTACTTTCAAACGAAAGAGAAGTGAAGGTAATGACTGAAGCTGGGAGTGTTGATCTTGCTTTTCACTCCATCAATGGACTCTTAAAGAATGGTGAAGCGGAGATGGTGCAGAGGATGTTGAAGGCTCTTGATGCCACCATTGATGGGCTTGAAGCTGGATTAGACAGCGTTTTTAAGTGTCTAATTCAAAATAGAGTCAGTTTCCATAACATCATCACTCATCAGTGATACCCAAATTGTTGTATATTGATACTGTAGTTGAAAATTTAATATATAAAACAAATAGAATTAGTCTTTCTACAATTCTCTCCGTTTGCGTATGAATGCTGCTTTAATCATGATTGCATAAACATCTTCATCATAATTCCCAAAGACTTGATTAAAGGCTAAAATCTGTAAGGAAACAGAGAGAATTGACAGAGACAAAGCCAGCCTTATCGTAGAGAGAAACCCATAGTTTTCTTCCTTTCTTTTGTTAGGCTTAATACAAAAGAAAAAATGATTAAATTATACTTTTTTGTGTTTTTTTACGCAATGCCTAAAATCATTCATAGTACCTAAACTCTTGAATTAAACTATTAGGTTAGTTGATTTCACTCGCATATTCTGAAAAAAGATTTTTGTAAATTAAATTATATATTGTTTGAAAATAGTTTTTGGTATAACCATTAGTATTTGATATATTAATCATCTAATTCGTATTGAGTATTATAGAGGTTCAACCTGGGGACAAGTCTCCTAACCTAGTTTGCTCTATACACAAATATTAGATTCAAACCCCTTATCTTACTTAAAAAATTTAGTGTCTCATCACATTAAACCAATTTATTATTGATAACTCATCACCTAAACTCTTGAATTAAGGTATTAGGTGTTTAAGTATTAGGCATTGGTGAAAGAGCAGTAGTTGTTCGAATATAAAAAATTTTCAATGATGGATTAGAGGGATATTAAAGATACAATCGTTTTTTATATAAAAATACCAAAAATATCAATTTTTTATATAATTTGAATTTCTTTTATAATTTGATTGATGATCTCGTACTTTAGTATAACTTTTTAAATTCTCACTTACATAAAATGTTTCATCTATCTTGGAAGATATCAATGGCAATTCATTTAATTCCAACAATGGTTTACGGAGCTTGGTATTGGCACACGTGTTGGCATATGACTACGTACTTTCTTTTAACCGAATTAAATACTCCCTCGATCGCTTTCAACAACGTCCAATGAACGCATTATTTCAGGAGCAAGTAAAACAAAATGACGAAGACAAGCCACTCGTGCACACAATATAATAACAACATAAAAAGGATTGCCAATGATGCTATTATCAATGTCGAAACGTTTTTTTCTTGAAGGTGAAAAAAAGTGAGATTTAAAAGCCACATTAATTTGTAATTTACCTCTTTCAATTGAGTTTTAATTTAAAAACAAATGTGATTTGAAAACCTCTCGTTTCAAAAAAAATTCAGATTTCCTTTATGATCGAAAAAATATAGTTCAAAGAGTCGCCACCAATCTTTGATTAGGGTGTGATTGGGCACCCAAAAATACTTTGTCATTTTAAATAAAAATTAATTTTAATTAAAACAACAAATTGAGGTCTGCGTTACCAAAATCCGAGTTCGGGAGTCGGTTACGTGCAGGGAATGATTAACACCCCCACAACGCCCTAAAACGGTACCTAGTCGATTAATTAACGTCTTTGCAATGAACTTTACAAATTCGAATTTATTTTAATTTTTGATCCCATAAAACAAAAATGTAAATTTAAAACATTCAAAAACACCCAAACAAATTAAATTAAAATTACCAAGTCATTTTAGAAAGATAAAGAATGTTCGATTATTTACAAATATCGAGACCAGATCTTAAAGATATAACAACCTTTTCTCGATATATATTTAAATAAACGAACATTTCTTTTTCTCTCGTTCCCAAATTTTAGGTGACAAATCAATTTTATGGTTTCACTTTCGGGATACACTTTTAATTTAAAATCATTAGAAGCGGACTTCAAATCAGTTATGACAGCCCCCTTGAAAAAATTTTAAATTAAAAGTATATTACCCTTAATCCAATTATGTAATAGGTCGAGTTACGCACGTGAGGCTATTATACAAATTGTACAAAAAAAGGATGTCACGCGAAAATTAATTAAACAAAATTAAAAATGTCATACCACGTAACATACAAAAATTATATACATACATTTTAAAATTAAAAATTATAAATCATGCATATTAACATATAATGTACAAGTGTGACTCAAATATAAAAACAAAAACATAACATACTAAACTATAGATTTTCACAAAAAGATATATACATATTAGAATTAGGACTAAATTTAAATAAATGTAAAATTCAACATACAAATCAAAAATAAACCAAAGTTCTAAATATAAGTATAAGCATAAACTAAAATCCTAATAAAATGCAAAATAACATAATAATGCATGCACATTCAAAAGAAATCAGAAAAATTAAAATAAATAACGGACTGCTATGTAAAATGCGTCTAAATTAAAAGGTCTAGATATAATTTATCCCTAAAGTCACAAGGGCCAAACGCTAATTAACCCTAAAATTATTATATTTAACCTAATAAAAAAAACCTAAACTAAAATATCACCTAAACGCTTTCTAACTCCCCTCACTCCTCTTATTTGCATTGCCCACACCAGAGGATGGACACCGGCCAGCGCTTGGCTGCTCACCTCAACCTTATTCTACTAAATTTATACAAACGCCACTCAAGTCTCACCTCCTCCCCTCTCCTCGTCTTCTTTCTCGGTATTGCACTCTCTTTTGAGCACCATCGCATCCGTTCGGTCACCATATCTTGGTAACCTCTTCTCCACTCGACTGCGGCCCCTCATCGCTTTGTCACTTCCTTCGAGTTTTCCGCCAGAAATTGAAGTAAGTAATCAAAAGTGTAGTTGTTGGGTAGAATGATGAAAAATTCTAAGGATTTGTGATTAATCTTAGGGGGCTGTAATTTGGGATTTATGATAGGAAAAAAAATTTAGGTTTAGTTTGGGTCTTGTAATGTCGTTTGTTTTTTGTGGTTTTGATTAGGAACCAACAATGGGGACTGCCGGAATTGGGTTTGAAACCAATTTACGAAATCAAATGGAGCTTTCGTGGATCTTGATCAAAGGGGACGAAGGGTAAAGAACGTAGAATGGATCATCTAGGATTGTTTAGGTCATTATTTAAGTTCCTCCGGGATTCTTAGAGGTGACCGAAGAACAAAATGGCCACCAAATAGAGGGGAATTGTAATGCTTTTGTGGCCTTCGATCATCGCTGTCGAGAGTCTTCCCCCAGACGAAAATTTCAACGACAGGTAAACTTACTGTTCTCTCACCATTACCTACTTATTTCTCTTAAGACTTTACCTCTAACTTACAGATGATAGCTACTCAAGGAAACTTAACGCCCCAACTAACGCTAAGTGATGGCTACAATACAAATAGGGAACAGAATCGAGCAAGGTAATGTAACAAACAAGTCTTTCCTGTATTTTCACTTATTTTGAAATAAAAATACTTATGAAAATTACTAGAAATTGAAATAAAGAGAAAAGATACCGAAATAATTGTTCCTTACTTGTTATTGCTTTCCTGAAAAACGACAATCCAGCCTCTGTTACAATGCTTGATCCTTTAATATCGAAAATGTTTTTTTTTTTTAGAATGGTCTCTATTTTTCTCTATCGTCTATTGTCTTCCCTTTTTGATTGTGTTCCCCCTTTCTTTGCCTGTTGATGAATGGTTATCTAAAAAAAACTGACCATCCCCCATTTACAGTTTTTTGATAACTCACAATACCCCCACTCTCTACAAACCGTTCCCTCTAATTTTTTCTGGTTTCTTAACTACCCAGACAATTAGCATCTACAGCTGCCCCTCTTTGTTCATTGTCGTGTAACGAGAATAGAGCAAGATCAAAAGAGACCGAATTTGTCTGGTCTTGAGAATGTTACGTCAGGATAAATACTTGAAAAATCTTCAAATGACGAGCCTGCTCCCTATTCCTTCAGGAAGTATAAGACTCGAACAATCTTCATAAAACGTGTCTACTCTCTATTCATTCAGAGAGTATAAGACTTGAACAATCTTTAATAAAACGGGTCCGCTCTCTCTTCCTTCAGAGAGTATAGAACTCGAAAAATCTTCAATAAACAGGTCCGCTCCCTATTCTTTCAGGGAGTATAGACTCAATCTTCAACGAACTAGTCCCGCTCCCTATCCTTCAGAGAGTATAGACTCAATCTTCACGAACTTGTCCCTCCCTATTCATTCAGAGAGTATAGGACTCTCTCAACGAACTTGTCCGCTCCCTATCTTCAGAGAGTATAGGACTCAATCTTCAACGAACTTGTCCGCTCCCTATTCATTCAGAGAGTATAGGACTCAATCTTCAACGAACTAGTCCGCTCCCTATTCCTTCAGAGAGTATAGGACTCAATCTTCAACGAACTTGTCCGCTCCCTATTCTTTCAGAGAGTATAGGACTCAATCTTCAACAAACGAATTTGCTTCACTACTCTTTCGTGAAGGCTTATAGAGGATTTTCTTCAAAGGTCAAACCTGAAAATCAAACATTATTCATCATGAATGTATATTTGAAAAATATTATACTAAAATATTTAGAAGTTGAGAAATTTTTTTGAAAATCCATCTCCATCGTGAAAACTTGTCTGGAGCCATTGAATATTTGAATCTGCTTTGACTCAATTTTCGTATAAACATCATTCTTGTCAAAATCTCAAGACCAGTTATCTTCATCTCGATGCTTTCATATCTTCAATCTTCAACTATCCCTGGGAAACCTGTAAATATTTAAGCCATCATGCGATTATGAATGCCATGATCCTACTCATGCCTAAAATGTATGCAATTATGCAATTCAATGCGTTTTCTTCTTTGAAGGAACTCTATCTCCTTTTGATCTCGATGGAATTCGGCTTCATCTTGGGCACAGAACGTTTGACCAGTTCACCCCAGTTAACAATCTCAATTTCATGTCTCTCGGCTTAACAGTACCTTGACTTATTTCTTTCTTGAAACCCGCCAGTATCCCTGACCAACTTCTCAACAAACAATAATCTCTTAGGGTCATCTTTTAATGGCTGAAATTTTCTACGAACTTCAAGATTTCATTTTCCCGTAACCACACAATCTTACATGTTAAAACCAATCATCAGCTTCAGAA